GCGCAGGGGGGGGGGGGACGTGGCGCGCGTGCAAAGCGCAAGGCAGTCCCGGCTGTGCGGTGAGATGGTATGGTTTGCTGGGCATCAGTCGCGAGCTGTGTACTGAGCGGGCAAGAGGGGCGTGATTGCGTGTGGGACATCAGCCGAAGCACAGACGCTTGTACAAAAGCGGGGGCTAACTAGGTGTGTGGCAAAGGACATTGTGATATTGAGCAGAGCGTGCGTGGTGCCACAATTCAGCGGGGTGACCATAAATGCCAGACACGCGGTGCCCAACACCCAGTGCCACGCACCAGGCACACAGGATGCCAAAGCCACTGTTCTCAACAGGCCCGTGCAGACTGCTCGCCGCTGCAAAGTTGCCCACAGGCTTGAGCTTGGGTTGGTCATGTTGAAAATTCAATCCGCTCAGGGGTGCCTCTTTTAAGCCTCGCGAGCACAGAAAACCAAGGGAACACCCAAAATCGCGCCGGACAAATCTAGGAGAACACCCATTAAGCTTTGCACTTCTCCACTGGTTCAGCCGGAATGCCTGCAGTACATGAATTCAGTGGTTTGAATGAACATCAGCTTGTCTTGTACTGTACCAAAACCGCTCCAAAGCAGCCTAAAAATGCACATCAACTTGTTTCTTTGTGACTGTGAAAGGTTCTGATCCAGTTGCCAGCCCTATCGCACACGCGTCATCCTTGCAAACTATCGATGGAGGTTTCAGTCCAGTATCTTCCATCAGATGGTGCATCCACACAGCCTCCCTGGACGTATACGAAGCTGCAAAATATTCTGCCCAAGCCGGGCTTGAGCCAGTTTCTCTTCCCTGGTGCTGGTCCAGTTGACAGCAGCCCCATTCCATCTCAGGACGTCGCCGTATGCGGACACGCCACTGTGTTGGTCACCAGCATGATTCGCATCAGATTAAGCCAGCATTTGTGTTCTGCTGTGCTGCGACTGGTTGCCATGACCAAGCCCATAGGTCCTTGAACCTTTTAAGAGGCGCACAACACGTACAGCCGCAAGCCAGGGAGTTTTGGTTGGTTGACTTGTATTTGCTGAGCACTCCAGTGGCAGATGGGGAATCCGGTATGCAAGCCGCAGCCAAACACATCAGAGATCCAACCAAATGGAGCAGGGGCAGTGCAGAGTATGGAGCCCTGGCGTGATGGAGCAGCTCTCATTGGGTTCCCTGCCCGCCTCGATCGACGCTCCCTGCGGACGCAGCAGTGCCTGCTCGAAAGCCGTACGGCTGATGGATGAATTTACACGTGGCAGCAAGCTGGGGCGCAAGGTGCGACCCGTGCGATGTTCGGGAGTCAGGTAATGTTGAAAACAAGGACGAACACAGAGCATGGCAGCTCGCTCATCAGCTGGCGGGCATGGCTGCCCATAAGGCGTGGCGCTGCTGCTGCCCAGGCACGCCGGCCTGCAAGCCGCCGCTGCACGGCAGCGCACGCCGCAGGCGCACGGGCCGCCTGCGATGCCGCCACCTACGATGGCGCGTCCCGCGCCGCGTCCCGACGCCGCGCGTCGGCCTGCCGCGGTGCACGCATAGAAGCAGAGCCGCCACCAGCCGCCCTGCCGCGCGCCAGCACTCGCTGGTTCTTCGAAAATGCCGCGCCAAAATGTCGCTAGTATGTTGTTCCCTCCGGCGGCTGTGGCGCAAGGGCGGGTTATTGGTAGCATAAGCTCTAGAGATACGCCCAGGTGCGGCTGCCTAATTCACTGGTGCCCGCAGTGCTGGCGAGAGAACGGCTCAGAGCATGCACACGCAAGGGCAAACCTGTCACGCACACGAGTGTTTGCCTGCACGCGGCCATGTGCCATACACAACGATCCCGTCATGGACATTGTGAAAGTGTACAAGCCTGCACACACATGCACACACACACACACTCTCTCTCTCTCTCTTGCACCAACACATGCGCACGTGAGCAAACGCATTAGCACATGCACACCACATGCAAATCAACAAACGCAAGCACAAACGCGCGCATGCATGCGCGACCAACAGCGCGCGCCCCGGCTCCTCACCTGCGGCAGCTTTTTGTTGGCGGGCGCGCACATCTCGCGCCGCAGCTCCGTGAGGATCGTCTCCATCGTGTACTCCCGCCGCCAGCTGCACAGCACCGGGAACCTCGACACGTCCACCGTGCCGTCCGGCAGCACGCACCCCATGTTGATCCGCGACTGGAAGCGGACCCGCGGCGGCCGCTCCGGATAGTTGAGGTCGCAGAAGAGCTTCAGGGTGTAGATGCGGCCGTCATGCACCGAGTTCGTGGGGCCGATGATGGTGCCCGTCCACTGGCGCATGAGCATATCGTCGGAGTCGTCCATGCCATAGCTGACCGTGCCGTCGCCGATGCCCTTCTCGCCCTTTTCCAGCTCCTGCATGCAGGCATGGCAGCCGAAGACGCGCACATGTTGCGGGGGAGCGAGCGCGGCGGGCGGCAGGATGGCAGGGCAGCTGAGCGGGCTGGCTGCATGTGAGGGCCAGCATGGTTGACATCCTGCTGTGGTGAGGCCACGGAACAAAAGAGGCGACGCTGCATGCCGCCGGCGAGGCGCCGCGCCGTGCGGCGAGGCCAGGCGCGGCGAGGCGCCGCGCGCCAGGGGGCGGCCCCGCCGATCAGGTGTCCCATGTGCTGGTCGCACTGAAAGCGCCAGATGGCGTCTGCTGCGATGTCCGGCTGCACAGTGTAGTGCTCCCAATGGTTTCTCCACCCAGCTTCTGCCCCCGCCTGAGGTCCGGGAGGCCACTGCTACTACTCTTGCGGTTATCAGCAACAATATCACTATGTCTAGATCGCACCTCCAGTAGTCTGAAGTTCCTGGGGACCGTGATGGACGCCATCGTGATCTGCTGCTCCCTGCAAGCTAGCTCCCCGATACCAGCGCTATCCCTAAGAGGCCTAGAAAGACTCGCGAGGCTAGATGAAACACGAAAGCGTGAGCGCCAGCCGAGCTTCCGACGTCTTCTTTGGCGCGGCCACGCTTTTGTAGGACACCTCTGGTACTTACGGCGCAACCTAGACGGCAACCTAGATTCTGAAAATAGGGACCAAAGAGCCAACGCGAACGTCAGGCGACGGGCATGAGGAGCACGAGGCGGGCAGCTTCGCCCCACCCAGACCCTTCATGGACAACAGTGAGTTGGCGGGCATCCTTTGCCACCGCATGATGGTTGAACCCGGATGACTGAGGCACACATGCGGTCCCCTTGAAGCGCTGTGCGGCATGTCACCAGCGTTCGGCCTGGAAAAGGGTCGAGAAACGCTTGGCAAACGCAGTCAATGTGCCGCGCACCATACGGTACTAAAGGCCCTTGCAACATAGCGGCAGAATCAAGTTCCGGGCCACTAATCGGAGAGATGGGTAGCAGCCATTGCAGTTTTGTATCGTGATTCCGTCATTCCCTTGCATGCCAACAGCATTGAGTGGACGGGCTGATGCTCAAATGGCTCATGCCCGCGAGGAGGGGGGCCGATACAAGCACCAGATAGAGGTTCTCTTAGCTCGCTGCATGCTGATGTCATAGACAGGTGGCGCAGCAGCGGGTTTGGTGCGTCGCAACCTTTGGATTATGGCTTTTTACATGCCAAGGCGCGTCCTCCGTCTGGGCCAGCCTGCAGCGCATCACGCTCGCTCAACTCCCACTAGCCACTCGCATGACTTGGAGCACGTCGCTGGGTCACCAGATGCACCACGTAAACCAATGTTTGCATGCTCAGCCCTGGAACAGCGAATATTCGGCAGCGCAGACCGCCAGCGGGCGGCTGGCTGCGCTGCGCAACACAATCGGGTGACCGCGCTTCGCTGCACGTCCACTTGCTGGGAACATTGTGCGCCTTGAAACAAGTAACATAGAAGTATACCTCAACTACCTTGGAGTCGTAGTCGGCCGTCACCGTCTCACCGGGGATCAAAGGAACAAGTGTGCGGCAAGCAGCGGAGTGCACAAAGCGAGTGGGGTATCCCTGCCCGTACCCGTTCCACCGGAACTCGTAACAGCCTATCGTATCAGACAATCGGACGGGATACACGAGCGCTTGTGACACTGCCACCATCGATGTGTTCTCAAGTGACGGTGCGCTTTGCGTGCTGTGTGCATGCACAAGCGCCCGTGGCGTGCAAGCCTTGAGTAGCCGTGCCACACACAGATTCAGGTTTTACAACGCAACAATTTTGGGTTCCAGAAAGCCTTGCCCGGCTACTGTGTGGCAATGATCTCGGGGTGTCGTATGCAGCATCAGCACGGTTTGTTCGCTTAAGGTTGACGCAAACATTATCATTCGAACGGTAGCAGAGGCAGAGCAGTTGGCTGCGGTGTTCAGAAGCAGCTGCTGCTCCGGGGCCATCCAAGCGGGCTAGGCCGCTTGGCCAGCTGCTGAAGGTTACCTAGCTTCGTCACCATGGTCGCGGAGATGCCGCCGGCCCCGGCGGGCGCGCTGGTGGCGGTCGGCAGCGCGCAGACGGCGGACGCGGCAAAGGGCGTCCACGATCTGGAGGCGATCAAGAAGCTCGCCACGCAGACAAAGGCCATCGGCGTCATCCTGCCGCCTCCTGACATCCGAGCGATCGTGGATAAGACCGCTCAGTTCGTGGCAAAGAACGGTGCGCGCGACGGCAGGAGCGCAGGGCGGCGTGAAGGTGTGCCGCAGGTCGCATTGCCAGCCATGCGCAGGACACCACAGCATCAACTTGAATGGCACCAGCAGTAGCAGCAGTAGTAGCAGCAGCAGCAGCAGCCACCGCCGCCGCCGGCGCAGCAGCAGCTCGCGGCAGTGGTGGCACGGAAGCCAGCTTGCGGCGTCGCTGCCCGCTTGCACGTAGCTTGCTTGCAGGGCGCGCATTTCGCGAGCAGCGCAGGCACCCCGCCGTGCCTGCACATGCACGCGCATCAGTTGGGGTGTGTTTGCTGTGTTGCGACTGGCCTGTCTCTGCGCTTGCGCGTGCCGGGTGGCAGACGCCCGCATCGTCGGCGGGGTGTTGCGCCGCGCTGTTGTCCCAAGAAATCCGCGTGCGCGGCCCCGGCGGGCGAAGCGCAGCAGCAGCCGCATCCAGGCGCCTGCCGGTCCCTGACCAGCGCATGTGGCTGGCAGCATGGAGCGGGTGGCGCCTGCAGCAGCGGCAGCAGAGCGGCTGAAGCAGCATTGGCAGATGGCAACGCTGCAGCAGCAGCAGCAGCAGCAGTAGCAGTATCGTCGCAGCAGCAGCAGCAGCAGCAGCAGCAGCAGAAGAAGAAGAAGCACAGTAGCAGCGTTATGGCAGGGGAAGCAGCAGCAGCAGCAGCAGCAGCAGCAGCAGGAGCAGCACAGTAGCAGGGGAGCTGCTGTGGCGCTACCGCCTGCGCACGCAAGGAGCCGTCCTCCGTGTCCATCATTGCCGACGCACGGTTCACGACACACAACTCACACAC